GCCTGTAATCCCAGCACTTTGGGAGGCCGAGACGGGCGGATCACGAGGTCAGGAGATCAAGACCATCCTGGCTAACACGGTGAAACCCCGTCTCTAATAAAAAATACAAAAAACTAGCCGGGCGAGGTGGCTGGCGCCTGTAGTCCCAGCTACTCGGGAGGCTGAAGCAGGAGAATGGCGTGAACCCGGGAGGCAGAGCTTGCAGTGAGCTGAGATCCAGCCACTGCACTCCAGCCCGGGCGACAGAGTGAGACTCTGTCTCAAAAAAAAAAAAAAAAAAAGTCGCGTTGGCCAGGTGCGGTGGCTCACACCTGTAATCCTAACACTTTGGGAGGCTGAGACGGGCGGATCACTTGAGCCCAGGAAAGAGTTCGAGACCAGTTTGGGCAACGTGGTGAAACCCCATCTCTACATAAATAAAAATAAAAATGAGCCAGGTGTGGTGGTGTATGCCTATAGCCCCAGCTACTCAGGAGGCTGAGGCATGAAGCTCGCTTGAGCCTAGGAGGTCGAGGCTGCAGGTGAGCCGTGATCGCGCCACTGCACTCCAGCCTGGGAAACACAGCAAGACCCTGTCTCAAAAATAAATAAAAATTTAGGCCAGGCGCGGTGGCTCACACTTGTAATCCCAGCACTTCGGGAGGCCGAGACGGTTGGATCTCAAGAGTTCGAGACCAGCCTGGCCAACATGGTGAAACCCCGTCTCTACTAAAACTACAAAAATTAGCCTTGGGCAAGTGGCAGGGGCCTGCAATCCCAGCTACGCGGGTGGCCGAGACAGGAGAATCGCTTGAGCCCAGGAGGTGGAGGTTGCAGTAAGCTGAGATCGCCCTATTGCAATTCAGCCTGGGCTACAAGAATGAAACTCCGTCGCAAAAAAAAAAAAAACAAACAAAAACAAACTAAATTTAAAGTGCAATTTCTTCTCGTTTTTCCAGTTTTACGAAAAACCCAAAAGGAGGGCAGCTAAGGTGGATACTGATGCCTACTACGCACCCTAAGAGTAGGTAAAGGGAAAAAAATGAAATCCACGTGGGACTGCGAGTAGTTCGCCGTTTCCCGATGACGCACACAATGCACTTAGTATACTTCGCGCAGAGGTCTCTGCAGAGAGGAAAGCCACCGTGAGAAGAGCGGGGAGCCCCCAGGCAAAAGGGCAGTGGCTTGTGTGTAGTGAACTGAAATGCGACACCACGGAACTGCAACAGGAGTCTCCTTTCCACTTGAAATGTGACTCCTAGCGAGGCACCTACCCTTGGCGCTCCCTGGACAGTGCGGCACGGTCGGGCCCACTAACCAATTTGCGCCCGACCGAATCAGGTGCTTCAAAATCCCCCCTGGTGAGCCGCGCGTTAGCCACACAGAAAACAGTCAACGCAGAAGGAGCGAGAACGCTCGGCCGAGAAGCCTGGCCCAGAGATGGGAGG